AGCTGTGGTGGGGGTTGGGTCGTTGTTTAGCTATTTTCTATGCCTGCCTCTGTATAAATATTTCACAATGCCGCTGTCCATAACTGAGTGCCAAGGTGGTATTATCAGCATCTTATGTAAATAAATTTACACACATTCCAAGTATTTGTGGCTGTTGTAAATCCATTTCGCGAACTGTGTTCTTCTAGTTATCGGCCGTGTGTTTTAAATCTTTTAGCGATTCGATAAAAACAATAGGACATTTAATGTAACCCCTTCCAATGAATTTATATATTTTCGAAAAGAATGAGTAATAAGAGAGAAGAGAGAATCGAAAATGTTCTCCTAGGCCACTTGCAGAAACGAAGAATTATTTTCTGCTTAAAACGAGGGACTTGAAATATATTGTAATTTTTCGTCTGTTTTATGTTTCATCAAGAGCAGGTAGTTTTCTCTGTTTAAAGCATTTTAATCGAAGGTCTATAGACGATATCTCAACCGAAATTCCGATACGTGTAATCGACTAGAAATTACAAGTTGAGTGTGGTCATCATGCAGAATGAAACCAACATACATTATTCATAACAGACTGTCAACTTAAGGATAGACTTCCTTACCATCGTCTGTCAAGTTACACTCTGTGAAAGTGACTACTTTATACTTTTGTCCGTATACGTCCGGAGATATTTTGCGAAATCTATGCCACAAATGCGCTTTTCTATATTCACTTGCCAGTAACCTTCTTTGCCTCGTATTTTAGACTGAAATAACGCGAAGTATACAGAGTTGAAAAAGTTTCAATTTTTAAACAAAGTTCGTTTTCAACATAAAAGTCACACTTCCTTCGTTTAAAAATACTGGAAAGGGCTAATCAAATTGTTGCTGTCTACGGTTGTCTTTTGCCTTCCGGCTTTATTGATGATCCGTTTTCCAGTGCTGAAATACTTGTTTAGCCGCAAACCCCTATTCTGTTCGGTAGATTCTAACGGTGGTTTTTGTTTGCTTAAAAATAATAAATGGTTGGTTTTTTCTGTGCGCACGCACTTGAAGTACCCATTTCCGTCACCGGTATGGGACAATTTTTATTAGCACTGTAAGCTTAGGTGCAGTTCGTATTTCCCGTAGGTTATAAAACCCCTCATTAACCGAAGTGTCGTTTGGAAATTTTGCTTAATAGATGACGCTAACTTAAACCCTGTGTTGTTCAACTTTACTATACCAAGCACTCTTTACGGTCATCCGGTAGCAGTCACACTGTACGTTGAAAGTGGGTGACTGGAGTTTCTCGTGCTATTAAGCCAAGTAATTATAGTCTTCATGTTTACTGACAATTGCGCTAGACTCCCATGAAATCCGGCAAACATATTGTCTGAGTTAAGTCGACATTAGTCATTTTTACTTTGAACAACCTGGATAGTATGATTGAGAGTTGATTAGTTAGATAGGCAGTGTAGTTAAATAAAAACGCATTTTTAATCTCCTGAAAACCTAATTTCTGTTCACGGTATATATCAGTATATTTAAAGTCTATAGGCGTAGACCGAAGCTGTGTCAACCAGCGGCAGAATACCGGCAAAACACGTGACTTCGTCTTTTATCCAGTACTAAGGTTGTTAGTATGGTTAGTTAGAACGTCAATTTATACTATTTAAGACTCTCTTATGGCAGCATGTGTACATTTTACAAGGGTTGATGGGTTTCAACACAAATATACACTTACAATTTCGGTCTACGCCT